TAATAATTCAACTGAAAAACGAAATCTTTTTGTAGACAATAGAACTCATATAATTAATGAATAAGACTTTGATATAGGATTTTCCCTTTTTGGCTTATCTGAAGAGCAAATGGCAAATTTAGATAATTATGTCAATGTCACCTTTTAATAAGTACAATTCGGATTGAATAATGCTGGATCATACCAAAATACTGAAATAAAGCTACTTGAGGTAGGTAAGTAAAGGTTTTGATTTTATTATTTTCGTTAAACAAACTTTTATTCATACTTTTCTAGGTAAGTGTAACAGAAATTGATTCAAAGGAGAAGAGTTCTAAGCAGAAACTATCAGAATACCACAATTCTACAAATGCCCGGTTAACTTTACTGCCTCATTATAAGGGAGTTAAACTACTAAAACCCTGTAGTCTTTCAGAATAATTGTAACAAAGTGCAACCAAATATATCTTAGCCTTAAAAATGAATCAGCAAAATGTATGAACGACAGTATGATGTAAAATTTCTTCGATAAACTTCAATTCAATGTGGTAGCAACGAATTAATTCATAGATGTTAATGAGAAATCACTAAGTCCAATCAAAACCGAGTTAAAAAATTTCTATGCAACAGGCTATCATAATATGAGTCTCAATTACCAGTTAAAAATTGGAAAGAACTTTTTAATATCTTCTTCTTCCTCACTATCTAATCAATTAAATTAAAAAAACGAAACTTACTACACTGTGAGGGAAGAATCTCTTAAGATTTCCTCTTAGCGGGTATACCAAAATTAAGTTTTTTTAAATTTCAACATGATGATAGATGATAATGCTATGACAACTAATCTTGAACTCTATACTGTTTCAGATGCTCTTTCAAATACTGGTGGTATTATAGGGATTGCTACTATCATTATATAGTTTCTAGTGTACAAAACTTAAGAATACCTCTACTACTAATAGCTAGTTAAAGAGATTTTTAAGATTGGTATTGAAGATTCTATGCCCTAAAATGGGAAGTCAGATAAATTATAGAAATTCCCATCTTAATAAATGTAAAATATAGAAAATTATCAAGATGAATTTTCAAGAAATTATAAAAGAATTTTAAACAATATTAAAAATTGAGTGAGTTTTCAATATTCTTAGATAGATTACTTGATTGAAAAATTAAAATGTTGGAGAAAAAATAAGCTGTCTGATTAAAAAATTAAACAATATCAACTATTTTAAAAAGCTCAGAATAAAATAAACAAGAAATTTGAGATAGTTCAGCTTTTGAAGACATAATTTATAATAAACTTTATAAAAACAATATCTTTATCAAAGTATCAAAGAAGGCTTATTCCATTTTTCAAGAATTAAGTCATTAATATGGAAAATAAGAATTAAATAGAATAAGAAATTAGAATGAGCACTAAAAAGTTAAATAATTTTTCTGTGCCAAAATGTAGTTAATATGAAAATTGGGGACAATTGAATAAAAATCAAAAAAATTAAATTAAGCTTTACTTAGGTTAATTACTATTGAACATGAATAAAAGCCTAGTGGATAAAAGAATATATAAAAATCTTGATGAGCATAAAACAAATACTGAAGTCCAATTAGGTTCAAAAGCAGTAAAAGAGAGCATATTAAAATCCCTAAATAAATAGATTAAAAGTAATACAGGAATTTTATAGAATGAATAAAAAACGTAATCTCTTGATCAAATATAAAACCTCAGTGTTTTATCAGAAAAAATTAAAGTCTAAAACTAGTAATCTAATGCATTCATCGTCTATTCAGATTAAAATATAAATTCGGAAGAACTTAATAAAACAGAGATATATTAATAAGATTCATTAAATGATATTAATATTGAAGATTTGGAAAAAGAATTTAATTAATGAAAGATAATTATAATTATTGCTTTTGGGAAAAAATA